AGAGCTCCAAGGGGGCAAGGCTTCACTGACAGACCAATCCACGCGAACCAATCCGTCCTTAGACGGCCGAGTTAACTCATCTCCAGAGCGCCGACAGGCACCATGCATAAACAAGGTGTACTCGTATCCTTCAGCATTGGTATCTAACGCTTCAGTAGAAATACCTGAATCCACGACCTACTCACGAACCTCTGCGCATTCCTTGCGCTGCCAAAGCCGGTGCCGAAGCGCGCCAGATCCTACCCAACAGAGATCGCAAGCCACGGATACTTGGCACTCAGCATTACACGCAGCAGACCTAGTCTAAATGGCCTTGGTCGCGGGGGCTCTCATGGTGGGTTTGCCCTTGTAGGACTTTGCTGGACCTGAGCTTTTCGCGCGCGACATCCCAATGCAGCCTGCGAGGAACCCCGACCTCAGGCCCAGGATCCCGTTCAAGACCCCTAGAGACGGCAGCCCTTCCAAGCTGACAGACCAGACAAGCCGAGAGCGCCACGAGATTGAGCTCAGCCCCCTTATCGTCAACAACCTCACAAAACGACGCCATCGCCCAACCGAGCCGACGCAAGTCATCTCAAGCTCGCAGAGCGGCCCCGAGACCTTAGCCCAGGAGCAGTCATCACGCCTAAAGACCTCAGCCCATCCCTCGAGACCTGAAATGACAAGGACCCTCGGAACTGACGCGTCTGAGCGAGCCAAAGTTCTTTGAGTACCTAACCAACGAAGTTGTACAAACCCTCCATATTTTATACATATATAAATACATATATATATATATACATGTTATTCATATGTATATGTATATTGAAGAAGAAGAAGAAAATTCAATCAAGGAAATAACGGTAAGCGAACGACGCTAGGATTCAGGCGCAATCGTAGACATCACCTGGGAGCGAAAGAACAGCAAATCAACGTCACCGAAAACTTCAACCCCACTGGCCCCACTGGCCAAAGGCCCGAGGTGCATGTCCCACCTATACGATCACCCTTCGGGTGATAGGGGGGGGTTCTTTTTGGGAGGGTGGCAACATCTGACTCAATCGATCCCACTATCGATCTCACTCAACGGGACACCACGGGACACCACGGGACACTTGCCGATTCATCATCGATCTCACGATCGATCTCACTCAACGGGACACCACGGGACACCGCGGGACACCACGGGACACCTCTCGATCTCCCTTATCGGCCTCACGATCGATCTCACTAGCGATCTCGCCAATGATCACATTATCGATATCACTCTACGGGACACCACGGGACACCACGGGACACCTGTCGATCTCACTAGCGGTCTCACTGTCGGTCTCACTTGTTCGGACACCACGGGACACCACGGGACACCTCGGGGCACCACATCGATCGCAGCATCGATCTCGCTATCGATCTCACTATCGATCTCACTCAACGGGACACCACGGGACACCACGGGACACCTGTCGATCTCACGATCGATCTCATTTTTTGGGACACCACGGGACACCTCGGGGCACCACATCGATCGCAGCATCGATCTCACGATCGATCTTCCGATGGATACCACTATCGATCTCACTAACGACCTCACTCAACGGGACACCACGGGACACAGCGGGACAGCAAGGGGCGCCAAGGATCACCGCGGGACACCGCGAGCCACCGCCGGACGGACGGACGGGCGGGCGGGCGGGGGAGAACGATTTGTCTCGACCTCGCCCTAGCAACGGCGGACACGACGGGACACAACGGGACGCCCCAGGACACCGCGGGACACCGAGGGCCACCGCTGGACGGGCGGGAGGGAGAGACTCATTCGTCCTGACCTCGCCCTAGCAACGGCGGGTTCATTCCTCTCGCGCGCCCGCGCAGCTTCGCCTCGCCCGCGCGCGCGGCACGAACGAAAAGAAACGATTTCCCGGTCGGGGGTCTCCGTTCCACTGCGATCTCACCCCCCAACCTCCGATGCGCCTTCCTCCCTGGGACTCCTCTGCGCTTCCTGAGACGCTTGTCTTTCCTGCGAGCGAGCGCCGCGCGCTCGTTGAATTTGCAATGTCTACCCCTGCCAGCCCCTCGCGGTCGGAGCGAGCGCCCAGCCGTGCAATCGATACCTAAGCTGACTACTCAGGGCGAGGCAATGTAAGCGGCCCCAGCTGCAGCTCAAGCTGCTCGGCCACTCAACGGCTGCTGCTGACTAGGCCTATCTTGCCCATAGCCAGCGTGCATCCCAAAATCTCGGCGATGGCGCGATTGGGGGGCCCGGCACCCCCCACTATAAAGAAACGACAACAGCAGGAGAACCAGCGCTGGAAAGACCCGCGTCGCCCACATAAGCATCGAAGTCGGCATCGATGGAAAGGCACTCCAACGAGAGCCGACATCGCGAACACCCCCATGAAGCTAGCGGCCATGGAACAACCCGCGACACCTCCCGACTCGCCCCAGCAGGGCCCTCCCAGGATGCCCCCTAAAGAGAGGTACCGCACAGAAAGGTACGCGTCGAAGCAAACCCTGGAGATGCAACGAGAAACACTATGAACCTTCCACTCTTGCTCAAGGTACTCTAACGAAGTACATTCATAATATTTCTCCATGTCCCAGAAGAGAGAGGCCGAGGGCCGTCGGCGGGCCACCCCGGCTTCGGCCTTGAAAGCTCAGCTCGGCACCAAACCACATCCGCAGCGCCTCTGTGGGCACCGGCGGCCCAGCAGGCCCCCGGGCGGTCGAACTCCCACTGGGGGGCAAAAGGACGACGCGCCCGCCCCCAGAGGCGGCGCCAGGAAACGAAGACCCCCGCGGGCCTCAGCCCCCGAGAGGCCCCCCGCGAAGGGCCAGGAGAATCACGGCCACTTGCCGGCGAAGCCTGCCCACAGACTCCACGGGTCGCCATAGTGCCGCAGGTGGAAGCCATCCACCGAAACAGCGCAAGCACTACGGTAAGACTTGCTGACCTGGCGAAGCCCATCGGGCGACAGTCGAGGAAAGGCTTCGACCATCCCAACTGGACCCGGCTCAGGGCCCTGACCCTTGCCCCAAAAGGCCTCGAAATCAATCCCTTCAGCTTGGAGCAGGGGGCGAGGGTCGGCGCGAATCCAGCCGCAGCAACTGAGGGTGGTCGAAGCCTTCCAAGGCTCAGGATCCCGACTGGCCAACTGAGCACGCTCGCCTCCTCCACCAAGACCTTCCTGCAGCCAATCCTCCCACGACGACCTGCCGGCTGCCGCCGCCGCCCCCCTCGCCTCAGCAGG